CATTTATTTAAGTCTTCTTTAACTACTTTCAACATTGCATTTTTCAGAATGCAAGTTTTACACCGCTTGGTTCGATTTATTCCTGAGAAATTTAGCTTTTGATGCTATTAATTTCATTTTGGTTGATTCGTTGTTACAGTAAAATACAATTTGTCAGTATATGTTGGTGTCATATCCTGCAAATTTGCTGAAATTATTAGATCTAAAAGTATTTTATTCAATTATTTAGAATTTTCTACATAAAAGAACATGTCATGCATAAATACAGACGGTTCTACTTTCCCCTTCCAATCTATGTATCTTTTATTCTATTTTTCTTGTCCATTGTCCTTACTAGAACCTCCAGTAAAATGTTGAATGGAAATGGCAAAAGTGAACATCCTCGTCTTGTTCCCGATCTTATGGGAATGCATTTAACCTTCACCATTGGGCATGATGGTGGCGGTAGGTCTTTTATACATGGCCTACAGCATGTTGAGGAAGCTCCTGTCCATTCCTACTCTGTTGTGTGTTCTTAAAATGACGGGGTATTTCATTGTGTTAAATGTTTCTTCTCAGTCTACTGAAAAGGTCATGTGGTTTCGTCCTTTATTCTTTTGATATGATGTTATATTAAATGGCATTTTGGATAGTTAACCGGCCTTCAATTCCTGGAACAAATCCCACTTGGTTTAGATATGTTTATAATTGTTATGTCTTCTTGGTAAACTGGCCCTTTTATTTTTATAAAATTTCCCTCTTCCTCTCTAGTAAAATTTTGTGTCTTAACATCTGTTTTGTTTTGTCATTTGTATAGCCACTCCAGCTTTCTTACCGTGCTGCCATATGGTGTCTTTTTTCCATCCCTTTACTTCCAGTCTGCTTGTATCTTTGAATCTAAGGGTGGAGCTTCTGGGGACAGCATAGAGTCTTACATTTTTGTTGTTAAAAACTGGGCATTGTAACATCTTACAGTGATACCTGATACTGATTCTGCCCCCTCCCCTAACTCCAGGTGTTACTGTGGTTTGCTTTTCTGTTTATTTGTTTAGCGACTTCGCTGGACTATTTCAATAACGTCTATTTCCCTATGCGGACTTTACCATCGCCCTTGAGCCTGTACGGTCTTGGGCGTACTCATAATCCCCCTGACCTCTTCCTCTCTCACCCAGGATGACAGTGGCCTGAAGAGGGTCCTCTTTGACTCTTTTGCTGATCTCCCTGTTCAGCTTTCACCTGGTCTGTTGTCTCTGTTACCATTGCACCTAGCTGCTAGCCCCCTGTAATTGCAAGTGAGTTCAACATTGTGTTCAACATGGCTTAACTAGCTCCACAGTGGGATCCAATTAAAGTCAGGTCCCTTTGCAGGATCATCTTTGAAGCCAGTCTTTGACACTTCTTTGACCTCACGATGACCTTTGACCCCATGATGAGCCTTCTGATCTGTTTCCCTCCAGAGTTCTTCTCTTGTCTTTTAAGTGGTCTGCTTTTCACATGTTGGTATCATGGAGCTCCCAGCTCTTCTTACTCGTGCTATCTACATCTCCATTGTTGTTGACCATGCCCTTAGGCTTGAACTTCCCTACGTTCTGTTCCAAGTAGTCAGTTCCCTTAGCGATTCTTAGGGAGTTCTTTGTTACTATGGCCTGCCTCCCCCCTTAATAGAAACTCAGCTCCAATACTCTGGGAAGGGACACGGAGACAGCACTCTGCTTCTCTTCGAGTGACACTCCTGCTTTATGAAGGAGGTGCTGGACGGGGACAGTAGCTCTTAGTCTTCTTGGCTTGTCTTCCCTGGTGTGGAAACTCAGCCCTCTGAGTAAGCAAAGGCGAGAGTGACTGGGGGCCAGTACTCGCGGCCTGCCTCACTTGTGGTAGAATTTCAAGCCTGTAAGCGAGTGGACCTGTACAGAAAAAGGGATCTCTCAGGCACGCTTGCCTGCAACACAGCTTGTGCAACACAAGACGTGGGGCGTTGGGGTGGAGGTTGGACACTGATGACAAATACCGACAGCCTGACTTTCTGAGTAGAAATTGTAGCCCTAGACTGGGAGCTGGGGTTAGAGGGAGTCCCATCCCCTTGGCTGTGCCCACGCAGAGTACAGTTTTCTTGACACTCGGCTGGGAAACGGGGGCCGGAACCAGGTCATGCCACAGACTCTCCCAGGTTTTACCAATATTTAGAAGGTTGTCTTTAATTTCTGTATGCCCACAGGCCATTTCCACAGACTGAATGGTTGTTCTTTTTTTTTTTTTTTTCTCATGTCTATTTCTTTATTTTGAGAGAGAGAGAGAGTGTGTGCACACACACGAGCAGGAGAGGGGCAGAGAGAGAGGGAGAGAGAGAATCCCAAGCAGGCTCCACGCTGTCAGTGCACAGTTGGATGTGGGGCTTGATCTCCCAATCTGTGAGATCTGACCTGAGCTGAAATCAAGAGTTGGATGCATAGCCTATTGCCGCCCAGGCACCCCCGAATGGCTGTTATTTTTATTTTCACTGGTTGTTCCCAGTTATGGTCGTCTCCCTGCCACTAGGGAGAGGGTCTGGAGAGTCCCCCCCACTGCCATTCTGGAAACGTTTCTCTCTTGTTTCCCTCTTCCTCGCACTTTTGCTGCCTTTGGTTTGCACCACTCACGCAAGCTTTGTCTCACACTGTTTTCTAGAGAACCGGGATGAAGAGGGTGTTTCAGAAAGAATATCCAGGGCGCTGTGTGAAAGTGCTGTTGAACAGGTGGAAGTGGTGCCAAGGATTGACAAGGCAGACAGCAAACCTTGACCTGGAAGGCAAAGTGGTCAGCTGCTCTAGAACTCAAGATTGCCCCTCACTGTCCCCTACATTGGCCTTACTTCTCTGACAGTACTTGCACTCTCCACTACTATGTAAGGCTAAACATGTGCTAATACATTCACAAAGACTTGAAAGGAAAAGCAGGAAAAAACACCTCATACGGACAGCATCTTCATGTATTATTTTTATTTTTTAAATTATTTATTTATTTATTGTGAGACAGAGAGAGAGAGCAAGTAGGGGAGAGACAGGCAGAGAGAAAGAGAGAGAGAGAAAGAGAGAGAGTCGAACTCAAAAACTGTAAGATCATGACCTGAGCCCAAACCAAGAGTTGGACACTTAACCGGCTGAGCCACCCAGGTGCCCTGTGCATCTACATCTTGTAGATGAGAAAAAAAACCTGAGGCTCAAATATGTACAGTGACTTTCCTAGAGTGAAGCAGGTAATTAATGCCTAGGAACAGAGGTGTTCCGAGTCTTAGTTTCGGTCTTGGCAGGGAGCACCATGGGAAACCCTCTCCCATTTCTTTTTTAGAAAACAAAAGTAAAAGTGTGAATAAGAAGATAAGGTGTCTATTCCAAGGAAGTTTTTCATTACAAGGCTATGCATATCATCTTTTCTGAAAAAAAATATTGACCCGATATGGTGACCTGCTTGTGGTCAACATGATGGTCTCAGTTTAGTGACTAAATCTGATCTCTTTTAGAGCCAAACTGCAAAGGAAAGAGAAAAAAAAAATACACATGTGCGTTCTTGAGATGTTGCATCTAGATGCCAGCCTTCCTCAACATGTCCTATCTCCGTTTTCCAGTGATCTTTGCTGAGTATGGGGCGGGGGATGGGAGTCATCGACACTCACTAACATGAACCAAAAATATATGTAACTCATCCTGCAGTCTGATACGGAAGACGCGTTGAGACTGTTTATGAACAATAATTCTCATTTTCTGTTGAATGCTATTCCTCATTGCAACAGAGTTCTTACTTCCATATAGAATAAGAAATGTGATTAAAAATAATAAAAACCAACATTTATTAAGTGCCAGTAATATGCCAGATACTTTGCTTGTTCTCTCTTATTTAATGCTTCTAGGCAATCAATGAGTTAGATATTTTTATCCTCCTCATTTTCAGATAAAGATGCTTTGAGAGGTAACTAATTAGGTTAATGTCAAACAGTCTGTTGTATCGCTTTTTTTTGAACCAGGGGGCCATTAAAAAAAAAATCCTTTAAAATGAAAAATTTGGATGTGCCATGGAGTTTTTTAAAACTAGGTTTTAGATGTATTTCATGAAACTTGTTCTTCTGTTCATTTTTTTTTTTTTCTGCATACAATTCATGGAAAGCTGGAACTTCTGTCTTTCTTTGGATTACTGCTCATGCGTTCAGTAATGTGTATGCTGCCTTCTCCTCTTCCTCATTCCTAATTTATAGAGACCATACGACTCCAGGACAATCCAGGCTGACGTCTATGGTCTGGCATAATTATTAATAGCTCTTCTTTATTCTCAGAAATGCCCTGGTGTGGATGACAATTTCACCACCACCTTTATTAAACATTCATCATTAAACACGCCGAGGTGTCATATTGAGGCTGACCACTAGGTGTCAGTAGTGTAACCCCCGGAAAACACTCAAGGAAAGCATTTCATTACAAAAGTCATATCAGAGCAAATAATTAAGTGTAGTGCAGGAGCTACCTGCAGCCTGTCCATTCAAAACAAGTGAGAGAGCTCGGGGAGGAGAGCGGGATCAGGTGCAGGACAGACAGGTAGCTCCTTACTGGGATCTGGTGGAGAGGGAAGGACTCCTTTCTTAGCCAAAGGACTCCAGTGATATCTGGAATGGACACCCTGGTGTCTTTTTTTAATTTTCACTCACAAGATGAAGCCAGTGTGCAGTGACGTGAAGAAACAGCTTTGAATGAAGACATGTTTTTCCCCTTCTTAAGCTGCTCTTCAGATCATGATCGGACGAAGGTCACATAGGCGACCTGGGCTTTAAGGAGTCTACCGAATGACTGACGCACTTGAGCCAGAAGCTGAGTTATCTGAACACGAATCCTTTAAGGGACTCAGAACTCAATGACATGCTCGGACTCTTCTTGGAATGACTCACGGACTGTACGTATATTACCCTTGACCCAGGTGGATGCCCCTGCTCTCCAGAAACCCTCCTCACTGCAGATGTGTGGCACACCATGACGTACAGGGTCGGGGAAGCCCACAGCATGGGTTTTCAAGTGTTTGTGCCTTTCAGTCCCTGGAGCTGGTTGCTACTGCTGGTGGCCCTCAAGTGTCCCGAAGCATCTTCTGATTTGAACGAATCCACAAATTCCACTGCCCAGCGTGAACCTAACGTTCGGTTTGCTGCTGCAGGCTCAGAGCCAGATGAGAAGATATCTGTTTTTGCACTGGATTATGACTATGTGCAAATTCCTTATGAGGTCACCCTCTGGATACTTCTAGCATCCCTTGCAAAAATAGGTAAGTCCCCGCACACCTGGCTGTGAGAGTTGTTCTCCCCATGAGATAATGTATGTGAAAATGTCTTGCCCCTGGTGAACTACGTGGATTTTAACTGTTACTGCTATTGCATCAAAAAAATCTGTTCCTTCGAGTCAAGGGGAAGCCATAACTGCTTTGTGTAAAGCCATTTAATCCTTCAGGACTGTGCTTTGAAATTTGAGCATACTTCTGGGTTCCGGGTTGTTTTGATTCCTTCTTGTTTCAGGATGACAACCATGTGACTATTTGGCACATGAAAATCTCAAGTTCTGTGCATTAAAAAATAGAGCAAGGCCTGCAGGTCTCGGAATGATGCTCCTTAGAAATTTTAGGAGCACATAATGATTCTTCTGTGAAATACTCTTCCTTCATTCTTGGCCATGTAACTGTGGGCTTCATAAATGACTCCCATTGTTTATTCTTTAAAAGCGTGACATGAGCTCCTTGCAGATTGACAGAAAGCAAGGAGCAAGACAACCACACTCCGTGGTGGGATATGGGGGCATAGAAGATGACATGTCAGTAAGATATAAGTTTATGCCTGAGCCAAATGGAGCCGGTGGGGCACCTCTGGTTTCCTTTGTGAAATAAAGGAATTCGAATTCATGGATTAATTTCTAATCAGGGTTATCTGTGTCAAAAAACAAAGTGATCTTTTACACTCTGTGACCATTTAATCCTTAACTGCACCCCCTTGTCTCCTTAATACCAGCTTATTCCAAAGTGGAAAACTGATGCAGTTATCTCACTTATTAAGCATAACATCTCCTTTGCCTCAGTTATGAACTTTGTTATTTGGGTAGATACATTGTCCTACTGGGATAGAATCCATGAAACATTTTTATGTTTATTTACCCTTTTCTTCTAGCATGGGTATGAAATATGGGTTCAACCACCGGATCTGGCAGTTAACTCCTTGGGATCAGGACTGTGGGTTCCATCTATTCATCTAACTTCCTCCCTGGGGATGACGGGGTTACTGGTGTATTCACTCGATGCTCCTTCACAACTGCTTATCATTATGAGCTAGTAAAGTCTGAAGAATGAATGGAAATTTCTAGTGTGAAGAACTCTTGTGTGATTTGTCAAATCATTAACTTACACAAAGGGTCTCATGTTATTTCTAAAAAGTGCTCAAGTAAAACCGGCTTTCTAACAGGGTAACATTCTCAGTTCAGAGCTAGGGTTCTACTACCTTTCATGCAACCACATGGGCGCTGAGATCATTCAAAGTGACCTTATGTGGATCTTGAGTTTTCCTTTGTGAACAATGCTGTAGATTCTGCCCCACCGCCTCCCCCCAACCCCTTTCCTCTTCACAGTAATGGGTGAAGTCGGTCTGGGAATCAAGGAATGACAGCTGACACTGACGAGCTAGTCACCTTGACTTTCTAGGTCTCTGTGTGCCCAGCTGTGAGATTATTTCTAAGACTCTTTGGGTGCAAATAAGGATTTTCTAGCGGCAAAGAGGTTTACATTCTCTAAACAGGGCAATGCAGAAAGGATATATTTGACCTTGGTTTTATGTTGTCATAAAACATAGATTGTTTTTTAGAGTATCTCATGTGTCCACACTCACTATGCCTAGAAGTTCAGAGGATGGTAAGACAGTATTGTTCACAGGACTGCTGGCTTAAATGATCTTGATTTTCATGTCGATGGAATGCAACATACTTTAGGAAAAAAAAAATAACTTCAGTAGGTTATCAGTTGGATCATGCTTATTCAAGTTCAATGTCAAACTTGTTAGTCTTTAAGGATTCAGACTACTTCTATACTGTACAAGAAAAGAAGGTCACATTTATTGATTTTTATTTCTTACATGTCAAGTACTGGACTCGTAGTTTTATATATGGTGGCTCATGTGTCTGGGGCAAAAAAATATGACATAGAACTATAACATGCAAGAAATCTATATAGATTTTCTTAGATTCTATATTATAAAACTAGAATCAAAATATAATTGATAATCATTATATTTATCATTTATTCTTTCATTCAGTCATTCTATCAAGACACATTTATTAAATGCCCATACCATATGTGGAAATGACCATGGTCCCTGGCCTCAAGGGACTAGTTGAATGGGGAAAACAGATGAATTTAGCACTGCCTGATAGGCACTCTGACAGAAGAATATCACAGCTCTCCCCCAGTCTGTTTTAAAACATCCAACTATGTGTGTTATAGAAGAACAAAATTATAGAACAAAGATAATACAGAATCACCTCAGACTTTTTGTTTGTCTTTTATTTTAGATCCACCTCTTGGAACACTATAGAAGGGTGTTCCTTGAGTCATTGGGCAGAATGGAATTGTAGCGCCGTCTTTGACTTTCAGGCAGGACTTTGTTATTTGTGGCCATTTAAATTTAGGGCCCTGGAACTGTAAACTCTCTCAAAGTGACTGACTCTATTGTCCATCATGAAAGGGAGGAGAGTTGTACAGTGTGAAATGCACATGATGGTTCTCTTTACAATGCCTTACTTTACAGTGCATGGCACCTCTTCCTGCTACCACTGCGTAGGTGTAGCTTAAGGCAGTTGCATGTGGGATCCATTTCAGGAAACTCAATTCCTGGAAGCAAGACCAAACTGGGAAGACACGGGGACTGAGAAAATCACACTATAGACTCTTCCACCTCTTTTACATATTAAAAAGTTCAGTGTAGTTAAAATAAGCACTAACTGAAGAAGAGGAAGAAGAAGAGGAAGGAGAAGAAGGGAGACGAAGAGGGGTAAGAGGAGAAGGAGGAGAAGGAGGACAAGAAGAAGGAGGAAGGAGGGGGAGGGGGGAGGAAGAAGAGAAGAAGGAGGAAGAGGAGAAAGAGAAGGAGAAGAAGAATAGAGGGAGGAGGAGGGTGGGAAGGAGGAAGAGAAAGTTATCATTAGCAAATGGAGAGAGCAGGACTCTCAAACTCTTGAAGGAGGCCTTAAAGCCTACTTCAAGCCACTGGCTTGAAGCCAGTGGATAGGCTTGTGGTTTTGGATTGTCCCTTGATACTAATTACATTCTATCATAATAACCTGCCTGCTGATAATAAATGAAATTCAAAGCTGTGATCAAGGAAACCCACATGCTCTTTGGATGGCTGGACTTAAAATTCCTAAGGAGACATTCAATGGCTCTCTGTGGCCTATGGGAGAAATATTCACTCTTTAGCCTTGAACTCAAGACCCCCTATTATATGGCTCAAAATCATCTTCCAACTCTTCTTCCAATATTCATCCAATTCATAATTTCCTCCAGCCAGGTGACCTCCTCGATAAATGTTAGACATATCTGACCGGGCCATTCCCACCTCTGTTCCTTTTCCACTGGAATTCTCCCCACCTAAAATCTCTACCATTCTTTTGTCCAACTATGTAACTCCTTGTCATACCCCAACAGCCTGTTCAACTTCTGCTTCCCATATAAAAGCTTCTTTGGTGAACATTTAACCTGATCAATCGTTCATTTACACACTTGTAGATTCTTTCAGCAAATAGACCAGCTGCTGTGGGCAAGACACTTTGCTAAGCACGTTGGGGAGATATAGAAATGTATGTCATTCTGTCTGAGTTGGAAGAGTCTGGAGGTGAGCAGGGGAGATAAGTCATGCACAAAAAATGATAGAGAACATTGTTGTTAGATACTGATAAAATAATACAGTAATTCAGAGGAAGACGTATGGTTTCCTTGGGAAGTGGTTGGGAAAGGTTTGAAGACTGAGATGGACCTAAACAGGTTGAAGAAAAGACAACCCAGGCAGCATTAATGGTAAACAAAAACTAGACAGGTGTACCGCAGGGAAAAGATGTGTAGTTGGCTGTGATGTAGGATGGATATATAAGGATAACGTTGGGTGGGAGGGATATTGACTTGGAGAGAACCCCAGAGTGAACTGCTGTGCTCTGATCTCTTCTTATATTTGTGGAAATAGTCAATGTACACTTCGCTGTATACTTACGCATTGCCTTGCTTTTGTCTTCTTATTTGTTAATGTCTTATTTCTGAAATTCCACCAACAGCTGGAATTGTAATAAACATGTTTGGTTCTCCACTTTATACACAGTGCTTCCCAGTGGGTTGGTCTTGGCCCAAGGATGCTTCCCAAATGCCCTCAGTTTAAAAATCTGAGTTGCTTTATGTGCCTTCAGAGACTTAGGTGGGGACTGAGATGATCAGATACATGTGGTTTGGAAAAGTCATCTGGCAACAGGAAATAGAGTGGACTGGGGAATTGAGGGTGAGATAGGAGAAGAAGCTAATGCAGTAGTCAGGATGGGAAATGAGGAGCCTTCAAAAAAAGGCGGTGGTTGTACAAATGGGGAGGAAGAGCTGGTCTTTAGGGGCATGGCTGAGAGACATAGCTGATGAAATAGGGAGCTGGTTGTAGGAGGGGCAAAGTTGACAGGGCTTCAGGGATTGTGACTCGATTTCCTACTTAAGTGGCTGACCGGCTGGCAGGGTCATAGGTTAAATAAGGAAAATAAAATAAAGGACTGAATTTTTGTTTATTGGTTTGGGGAAGGGAGGCTCGGAAGAAGCTGATGTTTAGGTGACTGTGATTGACTGCCTGAGCCCTGAAGGTGGGTTCTGCAGGAATGCAAAGGAACTCCACTCTCTTCTCTCCTCTTCCCCCACTGCCCTCCCGGATCCTGTAAGGTGGGGAAGCAGGGAGGGGCAGGAGAGGGGACGACTGGCTGAGGACCACTCTGGGACCTGCTCTGGGCGTGGCATGTTAAGTACTGGATCTCGTTTAAAGCCCCCACAACGCTTCCAGTCCCTGCTATGCATGGGGACCTGAGGCTCAGGGATGCACACCAGCCTACCCAAGGTCCCCTCTGCTTGGTTTTAGATGGCCTCTTGTATACCAGTCTCCTGGTAGCTTAGTGGCCAGAGCCATCTTATTTGCAAACATCTAAATGTGGTTCTCTGCTTTTCCCTAGGCTTCCATCTTTACCACAGACTGCCAGGCCTTATGCCAGAAAGCTGCCTCCTCATCATCGTTGGGGCTCTGGTGGGTGCCATCATCTTTGGCACTGACCATAAATCTCCTCCTGTCATGGATTCAAGCATCTACTTCCTGTATCTCCTTCCACCCATTGTCCTGGAGGGTGGTTACTTCATGCCCACCCGGCCCTTCTTTGAGAACATTGGCTCCATTTTGTGGTGGGCAGGCCTGGGGGCCCTGATCAATGCTTTTGGCATTGGCCTCTCCCTCTACCTCATCTGCCAGATCAAAGCCTTTGGCCTCAGTGATGTCAACCTGCTTCAGAACCTGCTGTTTGGTAGCCTGATCTCGGCTGTGGACCCTGTGGCCGTGCTGGCTGTGTTCGAGGAGGCGCGTGTGAACGAGCCGCTCTACATGATGATCTTCGGGGAGGCCCTTCTCAATGACGGCATTAGTGTGGTGAGATGTCAAAGCATGTCCCCGGGGAGATGAGGAGTCAGGTGAAGCTGGAGACAGCAGTCCATCCTCTGGGCAAATGGAGAAGGCTGAGCATGACTGCGTCAGGGCAGGACAGGAATAGGCTTTGGTCAATAGAGTGTAGCCAAGTTCTGGTGACTTCCCTTAGGATCTGCTACAAATAAATAATTGCTCACTAATGCTGCTTGTCATTCAGTAACCAAATAGCTTCTTTAAACAGAGGAAAAGGAGAGGACAGATCATTTTTTAGTTAAAATCAGGTTCTCAGAAGAAACTGTTGTCAAAGGCTCTTCTGGTCTTTTCACTAGGATAATCCGTAATTTACCATTTTTCTTTTCTCTCATTCACTGGACCTCACCCTCATTCCCTTCATATGCTTTTTGCTTGTTTTGTGTTTAACATGTTGCATGCAATAATGAATTTAAATAAAAGATGAGGTAGGAAGGGAGTTGAAAAGGATTTGCAAAATTGTGTTAGCAGCCTTGGTTGCATGACTCCTACAGAATATGTGAATGAGGCATTTTTGCGTAAGGACTCCTTCAGGGGAGAAGCTGAGAAAAACTTCACAGGCTGTCAACACAGGGCATTGAGGCCCAGAAGACGTCTTTGGTGCTGGAATATTCAGGCAAGTCAACCCATTGCTTAGTTTCATTACATTACCTCAAACCTTTACCAGGTGTTAGACTGTGAAACTTTTTTTTAAATCGTTTATTTATTTTTGAGAGACAGAGCATGAGCAGGGGAGGGACAGAGAGAAGGGGAGACAGAATCTGAAGGAGGCTCCAGGCACCGAGCTGTCAGCACAGAACCCAACGCGGGGCTCGAACTCACAAACTGCGAGATCATGACCTGAGCCGAAGTTGGATGCTTAACCTACTGAGTCACCCAGGTTCCCCTAGACTGTGAAACTTTTATATATAGTTTGATTTGCTTTTCTTATCTTTTTTAAAAACTTATTTTTTTAATTTTTTTTTAA